TGGGGGTGAGGTTTCGGGCTTCTAAGATTTCTACATATACATCCTGGGTCTGCAGCCATTTCTCAGACCAGGAGAGAACTTGCCTGGCCCTGTGGCACCAGGCATCTTGTCTCCAATCTCAGCTTTGCCAGGACAGCCCACGCCTGCCCGATAGTCCCAGAAGTGATGCCACCAGATGCAGCTCTCGCTGTCATTTCCCCCACCCCATGGCCTTCTGCTGTGCTCTGGTGCTCCTGCCACTGCATCTGGGCAGCAGGGACAGCCTCTTCTTTTCCCCCGACGAATGCTTCCCATTTGCAAATGACATAGTATTTGCCCAAAAGAGTTTTCTAGCAGTGACCCTCGTCAGGTCCTTCTCCTCCCCCCAGAGAAGGGACAGGCAGGACACCTGTGTTTGCTTTGGAATCACCTGTCTAGGTTAAACTTCTAACGAGTTGGCTTCTGGAGAAAGGGAGTCTCTACTTCTTGGGGGGGGGGTGATTGTCTCCCTGAAGTCCCCGGCCCTGGGTTTGAGGAGAGAAGACAGATACCCCTCCCCCCTTGTCTCTCATTGCCCTGAGCTGGAATGGGGGGCCCTGAGATCTTCCTTCCCAATCTTAGTGCCAGGTGGGTTCCCATCAATGACCTCTTTCTTTCTCCCTCTCTGGGGGACCCCACAAACACCCATCTCTTCTCTTATTATGTTCCCTGGGTGGTCTTTCTAGAAGGACAGTGGGGGTACTCACCGGCTTGCCACGGCTGCTGTGCGGGCTCCTGGCTCCCCTCTGCCTCTGCGCTCCCACATTCACACATTATCCTGTGAAAACCTTGCTATTCGTGTGGGGCTTGGAAATCACTGCTTGGGAGCTGCGCCTCTGGTAGGTTCTCTCTCCTTCCCGGTTCAGAGGCTTCCACCTGTCTCCCAGAGGTGGGGGCCAGAGGCAGCCACTTGTGTGGTCACTGGCCTCCAAAGGGCCCGAGAGTATCCCATTCTCTTGCTTCAGTCTCTGGAAGGGAACCTCAAGACCCAAGAGGAAAGTGGATCACTTGGCACCACTACTGGCATCAGAGCTGGGATGGGGACCCATAAGACTTTCACCCCACTGAGATGCCCTGAGAGGACTGAGCAGGCTGCCTGTGTTCTGTCCACCCAGGTTTGACCACAGTTAGACAAGGGGTCCAGGAGACTCACAGCATTCCGATGACAGGTGGCAGAGGGTCTAAGCATGAACATTCATGTGAACATGTGTTAGTATGTGTGTATGTTTGTATACACAGTGTCCTTCAAGTACTTGGCCTGTGGGTTTCTGGGTTCAGGATCTCACAGAACATCTTGTGAGGCAATTGAGAAAGCCACATGATTGGGTAGGACCTATGGGCTCAAGTCATCCTGGGGACAGGCCTGGGCCAGCTCTCAGATAACCCTGGGAAAGATCAGTGTGGCAGGTTGAATGTAAAAATGGCCTTAGTCCTCAGGCCAGTGTGTCTCTACACCTGGAGAGAGGGAGGGTTAGAATTGCTCTCCCAAGTCCTCAAAACTGGGCTGCCCTGTGACTTCCTGTGCCAACAGGAAGTGGGAGTGATCAGTCGCAACCTGAGACGCAGGAGACTGGGAGCTCTGCACCTAGCCCTGGACATGCCTGTCTTCCCTGCTGGAGGATAATGTACGTGACATCACCCGTTGTCCCCGGTGAGGCCCCACACATGCAGCCATGGTTGACAAGGCTGTGGAGCTGGCCTTCCACTGAACACACGTGCATGAGATAGTTCTGCCAAGTCCAGGTCAGACCAGACCTGGCCAGGAAATGGTAGACTGGGAACAAAATGAATGTTCTCTGTGATGTAGCCGAGGGTCCGCCTCTTTGTTATAGGCATAGGTTTGAGTCTAGAGGGCACGTGATAAGATTTCTAGACTTAGATCCCTGAGTGAGGAGTTAGACCAGGGACACATGGCTATTGATAGACAGGGACAGCTATTAGTAAGAGAAAGGTTCTTCTGAGAATGATGTTGGATAGACACCTGGGACAGCTCAGAGGCTCAAAAGTGTCGAGCAGTCTAATATCAGGGCCCTTTATAGGTCATTTGCTTAGAACCTATCTTTACCCACATTTGTCATGGGTATACGGTGCTGCTCTGTTCCTTACCTGTAGCCTGGGTAGGGAGGTTCCCAGTCTCTGCCCACTGGCTTCTCATGTTAATCTTGATGTCTCTTTCCCCATGTCCAAATCTCCTGGGATAATCTTTGGGGGTAGCCTGATCATCTAAGACCAGCAACCATAGGCACTGTCTGGGGCTTAGGAAAGAGACATCCCAGAGCATAGCTTGTTGGCATGCTAATCTCTGAGCTAAGGAAGAACCAAGGTCTCTGACCTTCAGCCCTCCTGTGTCTCTCACCCTCTTTGTTGTAGAATATTATTTTAAGATGTGTTACATTTCTTTATGCTATGGAACATTTGTTTAATGATGCAAAGATGTGTTGCATTCTTTTATGTTGCACCTGTTTAACTCTGTGAACCTGTGTTACTTTGCCTGTCTAAAACACCTGATTGGTCTAATAAAGAGCTGAAGGGCCAATAGTGAGGCAGGAAAAAGGATAGGCAGGGCTGGCAGGCAGAGAGGATAAATAGAAATCTGTGAGGAAAAGAAGAAAAAGCAAGAGAACAAGGAGAGGAGGATGCCAGGGGCCAGCCACCCAGTCACACAGCCAGTCATGGAAGAAAAGAAATACAGGAAGAGAGAAAGGTAAAAGCCCAGAGGCAAAAGGTAGCCAGGATAATTAGTTAAGAAAAGCTGGCTAGAAACAAGCCAAACTAAGACCGGGCATTTATAATTAAGAATAAGCCTCCGTGTGTGATTCATTTGGGAACTGGGTGGCATGCTCCTCTCAAGGAGTAAAAAAAATCTCTTCTTCCTTATCATTGCTATGAGTTGTGCCCTCATCTCATCGGGGGGGGGGGGGGGGAGTAATATCATAGGACACTCACTGAAGGCCAAAACCACAGGCTGTCACAAGCCATTGCCTACAACTTTTATTAGCCACTAATAATAACTTTATTATTAGATAAAGAGAAACTTTATCTGTGTTCCTGCATTGAGACCCTCGTCCTGCCTGCACCCTTCCTTCACTCTCCTCAGCCCTTTGCTGGCCCTCCCCTCCAAGCCTCATCTAGCTCTTCTTCCCGGGAATTTGTGAGATTCTATGACAGGCACCTAATACATCTGAATATATTTTCACCTGTTAACCTGTCTACTGTCTGCTGACTTGAAAGACTCTGGAAACTTCAGAGGCGAGAGAAGAGAGAGATTTCCCTTCCCCCTATGGGACACCGAAATTTCAGAACAGGAACGGAGTCAGGCATGGTGGCACATCCCTGTCACCCTAGTACTTAGGAGACGGAGGCAGGAAGATCAGGAGTTCAAGGTCATCCTCAGCTACAAGGGATTTGAGGCCAGCCTGGGAAGCAGCCAGGGAACAAGCCAGGGAACCGCATTCCTACATGGTTCCTGCCTCCAGATTCCTGCCCTGATTTCCTTCTGTGATGAACCAGGAGCTGTAAACCAAAATAAAACCATTCCCCTCCCAAGTTGCTTTTGGCCATGGTGTTTGTCATAGCAACAGGGCAAAACGGAGCCTCTTCCCTCTGAGTCCCAGTTTCCTCTTGTGAGAGATGGGCCGAGGATGTCTCTCTAATTATTGTTGGACGTTCAGTCTCTGTGGACTGTGCAGTAGAGAGAGGCACACTGTTCACATGTTGGCTGCCCACTGCCCTTTACATCCTAGTACTGTGATCACTGTACTAGAATGCATTTGAGTGGACTTAAGAACCCCATTTGTAAAGACTATGGCACTGTCATGTGATGTGTCACCAGAGTTGTGACTGTGGGGAGCTTCAGGCTAGTGGCTACCGCAAAACGGAAGTTTTTGAATCTTCTTATTTTTTTGCCCTTGTCGCCCTTCCTTATTGCAGGTGGAAAGGAGATGCTCGAGGGCTGAAGAGACAGTTGGCAAAGTGCTTGCTTTACAAATACCAAGACCTGAGTTTGGTCCCCAGAGTCCATGTTAAAAATAAAGTCCAGCATGATGGCGCGTGATTGTTGTCCTAGGCCTGGGGAGATGTAACAGGCAGATTAGACTTGCTAGCCTAGTCTACTTGGTGAGTTCCAGGCCAGTAAAAAGCTTCTGTCTCAAGGAGGAGGGAGAGGAAGAGAAGAAGGAAGAGGAGGAGAGTACCTGAGAAACAACATCTGAAATTGTCCTCTACATGCATGTCCGTCCATACATGTACAAGCACACTCATACACATCCTTGCACCAATATGTGCCCATGTATACATCAAACACATACGCACACACACATGAAATAAAAAGAAATGCTTAAACATAGGCACTTCATGAAGCAGTGCCAGGAGCCGGGGTCACGCCAGCGAAAGAAAGGCTCTTGGGTCTTTGTAGATTCTTCAGCTGGAAACAGCCTTGGGGATCTGAAAGGAGCCATGGTCATGCTGTTGAATGGCACCAGGACCATGTCCATGTTGTCCAATTGCAAGGATTCTGGGACAAGACAGAAGGACAGAAGAGGGGGCTGGAGAGCAGTGAGGGGCGACTGTGGTCTGAAAGGCCCCATTAGAGAGCCCTTTGTATAAGTAATACAGGGTTTTAAATTTGCATCTCTCCCATTGCTTAACCCAGACAGCCTTTTCTTGGGCTTGGGTGGCTTGCTTGTTAACAGTTCCAGCAGGCAGTCTGGTGTCCATGTGCTGTCTCCCACACACCCAGGAGTGCTGGGGACACACGCCAGGGTTGGGCCGTGCATGCTTTCTGCACTGCTCCCATGTCCCTCGGGTGGGGGAAGTCACCTTTCAGGATTAGAGGGGGGGGGGGACAACTAGAGGCGGAGCTGGCAGTTGGCCTGTCCACCACTTTCGAGTTGACTTCTCAATAGTAAGCATACATGTGGAACAACAGAATGGAAAAAACATACCCTCGGATGCAGTTTGTTCAAGTTAAAAGACACCTAGAGTCAAAGGGAGACATTTATGAATTAAAAAAGCACATTAATAGCAAACCAAAGGGAAGCTTAAGAGTGAAGAGGAGGGAAAAATGGGTGTTCATCTTGGCCTAGTGGTTATGCCAGGGTCAAGGTCTCAGTTGTTTCATGTGGAAGCAAAGCTACCATTGCAGAGGTACTTCCATGTCATTGAAATGGGTATTCTGTCAGCTATTGCTGGTCAAGACCATCTCTATCTTTGTATGAGTGTCCAGGGGGAGCATTACTGGGGACTGGGATGTTGGTGTCACTGTCTGGACTGGTGCTGTTGACAGGTCCATTGGTCATGTTGACAGGTCCCTCGGTTGTAGAGACAGGTCCATTGGTCGTATAGACAGGTCCATCGGTCGTATAGACAGGCCTATTGGTCATGTTGACAGGTCTATCAGTCGTATAGGCAGGTCCATTGGTCATATAGACAGGTCTATTGGTCATTTTGACACGTCTATCAGTCGTATTGACAGGTCCATTGGTCGTATAAACAGGTCTATTGGTCATGTTGACAGGTCTATCAGTCGTATTGACAGGTCCATTGGTCATGTTGATACATCCACTGGACGTGTTGACTGTGTTGTTACTGAACATGGTTGAGATGTTCTGAAAGACAAAGGACAGGAGCGCATCAGTGTCCTCTGTAGTGAACTTCAAGAAAGGTAGTAACTTCTTTCCCTTCCCCTTTCCATGCCTGGGGTAGACCCTCTCTCGTTGATGCTGGGCTTAGTCACATGACTTTCTTTGGCTAAGGAGATAATAGTAATGGGGGTATAAGCAGAGGCCCATGGCATATTTGCCTACTATGGCTTGATCTTTCTTGCCGCTCATTGGAACAGAAAGCAGGCAGGAGTGACCTGACCAATAATAAGTGGCCCAGTTTTTTTCCCCCTATTCACAACCAGCTTTCTAACTGCCAGACACATGTGTGTGTCTATGCAAGATCCCCCAACCACTGGGTATCTCAGCAACCAACTGTCAACTCAGCAATCCCAGCAGATTAGAACTGCCTGCTGTGAGGACCAGAGGCTCATGAACTAAGTGCCTGTTGTATGAGCTATTACATCTTAGGACTGGATTTCTGAAGTTACCAATGGATAAATGATATTTAAAGTAAAATTTAAGCCTAACAACAGTGTCAAGTTAGGATTAGACCCACACAGAAAGGACTGTGTCTATACAACCCTGTGCTAAGTAAGACTGTGTATCTATTTATGTGTGTGTGTGCACAAGTGCATGAGTGTACATGTGACTGTGTGTACACATGTGTGGAGGCCAGAGATTGACACCGTGTGTCTTCCTCAGCTGCTCTCCACTTTATTTTTGCGACAGGGTCTCTCACTGAATCACTGGAGCTCAATGATTGTCTGGATCAGCTGGCCAATGAGCTCCATCTGCCTGTCTTTGTTCCACCTCCCCTGACCGCCAGTGCTGGGGTCACAGACATATGCTGCAGAACCTGCCTCTTGATATGAGTGCTGGGGGATCTGAACTCAGGTCCTTATGCTTGGACAGCCAGCACTTTACTGACTGAACGAACCGTGTCTCCAGCCTTTAGTGAGGCCCCTTGCCTACACTGAAAAGCTTCTAAAAATCTTATGGGCTTGGTCCTGGAGAGGCCTGATCTCAAAATGGGTGTTGGTAGATTTAGAGAGAGGTCTGTTTAGAACACAAGCAAAGATGAGGCTTTTGTCAAGTTGCAAAAGCCATAATCTGGTGCACAAAGCATTCCCAGAGATTTTGAGGGACTTGCACTAGCAAAAAGCCCACTAAATAGGAACTGGTATTACTCAAAGTACAAATATGATGAAGTAATTGCCCATCTCTCCAAATATGGAAAGGTGGACTCTTTCTTATGAGAAAGGGAAAGTGTTGTTGACAGTAGCCAAGAGACTAGAGGTCAAGACCGCGGGGAACAGTGGGTTAGGGAGACACATCCAGGAAGCAGGACAAAGGAATGGCGGGTCCTTCCTCAAAGCCGAACTGATTCCTAACCAAGGAACATTCTCTGCCCCCATGGGGGTCATATTACTTCTCAGGATTAAATAAAAAATTTACTTTATTTGGTGTGGATGGGTGTTTTGCCTGCACTCATGACTGTGCACTATGTGCGTGCCTGTGCCTGCAGAGTGCAGAAGGGAACATCAGATCTCTTGGGATTGGAGTTACAGGCAGTTGTGAGCTGCCATGTGGGTGCTGGGAATTGAACCTGGGTCCTTTAGTCAGTGCTTTTTACCACTGAGCCATATCTCTAGACTGCTCCGTAGGATTTTAGAATTTTATGGAGCAGTGACCATCCTGAGCCTCTCATAAGGTCTTTCTCTATTGAATGGGAGAGAATATTTGACTTATCTGGTTCTTGTCTCACTAGACTCTGTTGGGTATGTTGACAGAACTTGTTTTTATTATTATTGTTTTTTTTTTTTTTTTTTTTTTTTTGAGACAGAGTCTCATGTAGTCCAGATTGGCCTCAAACTTGCTAAGTAGCTAAGGATGACATTGAATTTCTGATTTTCCTGCCTCCACCTCCTAAGTTCTGGGATTACAGGTGTATACTACCATGCCTAGTTCATGCAATACTAGAGATCAAATCCAGGGTTTCTTGTATGCCAACCAAACTCTCAGCCTACATTCTCAGCCCCCAGATATTTTTAGTTTCTAGGTTGCTGTGTAAAGAAGATCCATATTCTATTCCAAAACTGGACTGTGGACTTCAAGCATGGTGATGGAATTGGATGGGATATTTGGGACTCCTGGGATGGGGGATAAACATGGTTTGCTTTTTTTTTTTTTTTAGAAGATTGAATCCATCTGAGATGAGTTGAAGAGCAAGTCATGTATCACCATACAAGTAGATGATACTCAGAACCAAGGACCAAATAAATCAGTGGTTCTCAACCTAATGCTTGGGCCCTTTAATACTGTACCTCGTGTTGTGGTGACCTCCAACCATAAAATTATTTTGTTGCTACTTTATAACTGTAATTTTGCTACTGTTATGAATTGTAATATAAATATTTGATATGTGACCCCCAAAGTAAATGCTTGCTATTTGAAGGTATTTGGTTTTGAGGTAGTTTGCTATTCACCAAAACTTACCTGATGCACCCCATTCACTCCTCACTTTTCTCAAACTCTAGTCACCTCTTGCTAAACCTCCCCAGAGTAGGCTCTGATTCCTGGAATAAAGTCCAACACTCACCTTAAAATCAGTCCAGCAGGCAGCCTGGCACCCAAAATGTGAGATCATACAGGTGATGATGAATTCCAGGAGGGCAAAGGGGAGGAGACCCCCAGAGATTGCCTTCAGACAACCCTAGGGGCAGAGAGGAAATGGAGGCGTTTCAGTCTTCAGGGTTGACTGGATGACAGTCTACATTTGTAGCTCTCCTAAAGTCAATGCCGTATGCCTCATCTGGAATACTGGAGGTCCCCTCTGTATGCGGCGTTTTGGTGTAGATGCTACCTTTACACACCTTTGCCACATCCATTCAGTGCCCCTCAACTTCCACCTGTCAGCCACTGCATTTCTTTACTGTGGACTTTCACGGCCCCAGGAGCCCACTTTACTGTTTATACCACAAGCTTGAAGCTCAAACAATCCTCTGGAGGGAAGTCTTCCATTGATGACTAGTAAGGGTTGGTGTGTAAGTATCCTAGATTCTTGGCCCTGAGTTCATGTTTACTTCTTCTCTCTACAAAACTACTTGTTTTAAAGTTTACTTCTGAGATGACCCCTAACTGTGATGTGCCCTAACAAGTACCCTGACTGTGAACCTATATGAGGGGCTGGGGTCCTTACTGTGGGTTGGTGATGTACCAGTGGGGATGTATCATCAGCTCTGCTTGGCTTTGGCCGTCTTAGCTTGATCTCTGGGGTCTTGCCTGAATGAGAGCTTTGAGCGCAGGACCACCCTCAGTGTGCTTCCTGCTGTGGCCTTACATTGCGCATTGTGGAGGCAGAGTTCTAGGAGCACTTCTCCTCCCCACTCTTCTCCTCCAGCAGATGATGGGACCCCAGGATCTGGCTTCAGGCCTATTGGAATCTTAAATTTCTGTTCTACTTCTTTGTCAGTTCATCCTGTTGCCTAGGGCTGGACTCAGATGCCAACAACCTTGCCTAGGTTCCTGCCATGTCCTGTCAAGGCCAACTTCTGTCAGTTAGACTAGGCTTCTTCTGGGGCCTACAGGGAATGCTTTCCTTTTGGGGACTGTCCTCATCCCTGTAGTTAGGTCTCTTGCTCTGCCAGGTTTCCTTGGTCTGCTTGATTAGTCCTGAAAGAGGACCAGGTCGCAGCTTGAGACAAACAACCATATCTCCACCCCGAGACCGTTTGCCTCTTAATCTCAGAGTCATCACTTGGTGTGAGGAACATTGTGATTGTCTTAGCAATTGCAGGATTTTGGAGGAAGTTATATAATTTATGGATCATACTAGGATGGAATTCTGTTGCAATTCCTTCCTGCTCAAGAAACAATCATGTAAGCTCTCTTAATCTGAAGAAGTGTTGAGACCCATCAGCTGTAATGCTCACCGTCAGTGAATTAACATCAGCGTTGGAAACACACAGATCTACAACGATAATAATGACGCCCAAAAGGGAGAAGATGGAACTGATGACATTCATGCCGATGTTGGTGCTCACCTGAAGGACACAAAGGGAGGGGAATGTCACAGCTCAGCATTTGGGATGACCCAGGACGTAGGACAAGAGGAGCAGGGCAGAAAGGAGAGGGCCAGGCTGGTTGGAGCAGAAGCCTGTTAGTTTACCCTGGGGTCGTGAGATACTGATTGCTCATGCCATGTCTCTTTAGGGCAGGAATCACCCATTGGGAGAATATCAACACCTGGCTAAGCAGCCGAGGGAGGCAATGAGATTTGGAAGGCTGTTTGGAGGCAAGGTGAGGTTGCTGGCCTGCTCTGCAGAAGAAGCAGGGACACCAAGCTTGCCCTGAGAAGAGACAGTAAGAAGATAAGGTGTGGTTGATATATTGTGCAATTGTGCACCCCAATAAATTTATCTGGGGGTCAGAGAACAAAACAGCCACAATATTAAACATAGAGGTTAGGCAGTGGTAGCACACATCTTTAGTCTTTAATCCTAGCATTCCGGAGGCAGAGAGCCATCTGGATCTCTGTGAGTTCAAGGCCACATTGTAAATATCCAGGCATGATGACACACACCTTTATTCCCAGGAAGTGATGGCAGGAAGCAGAAAAGTATATAAGGCATGAAGACTAGGAACTAGGAACGTTTAGGCTTTTTAAGCTTTTAGGCTTTTGAGCAGCAGTTTAGCTGAGATCCACTCGGATGAGGACTCAGAGGCTTCCAGTCTGAGGAAACAGGGTCAGCTGAGAAGTTGGCAAGGTAAGGTTGGATGTGACTTGTTCTGTTTCTCTGATCTTTCAGCATTCACCCCAATACCTGGCTCTGGGTTTGTTTTTATTAATAAGACTATTTAAGATTTGTGAGCCTGGGGCTGGAGCCTGGGTTGGCAAGTTTGGCTGGGGAAGATGTTCAGATGTGAGGGCTCTGCTTCACCATGTTGAGATGTCAACAAGCTTTAACTGTTTACTGCTTATCTCTACTCAGTCTGCTTCCTTTAGTGGGGTTCTGGGGAAGAAAATAAAGAAGACTCAACATGTCATATCTGGGCTGAGTCTGGGGCAGCTGTCAGGCACAGAAAATGAAGCAGAGATTTCAATGAGAAGTCAGACATCCGAGCAAGATGGAGTCTGGAGAGGCCCAGCAATGCCACACCTCTTGCTTGGCAAGGGTAATGGTTTTCCAGAGGATGTAGGTGGTGGTTGACCAGTCTTGTTGGGACATTGAAGGGCTGTTAGAATTCTGCCCTTACTACAGTTGCATGACCACACATGTGCAGTTCAGGAGTTAAGCAAAGGACCTTGTGTCTTATGTTATCAGGGTGCATTGGTGACTATGCGTGTGCGGTGTGGTCACACAATCAGTGCATGCGTGGTGTAGCTCCGTAAGCCCGCCTGTGCGTGTTCACTGGGAACCCTTAAAAAGCCGGACGCAGACCCCATCCTCTCTCTCTCCCCCCACATCTTCCCTCTCTCTGCACGTGCTTTCCTCACCAGGCCTGGTTCTCCTCTCCCTTCCCCCATTCCTCCTAAATAAAGCTCTGAATACTGATACTGGGTTCTGTCATGACTGTGACCTTTCCACGAGGTAGCCAGTGCCATAACCAGCGCTGTTTACTGTTCCTTTTATTGGTGCCGAAGACTCGAATAGACCATTCCAACCTCTTTGCATTTGGGGCTGAGCGTTGGAAACCTATACAGAAGTTCATTGGACCTACAACCGCCCACTCTGCTTTTTTCATTTGCCCAGTCACTGGACTGCTCTGCACATGTGCTGCCTAGATTAGTGAGTCCCCCGCCACTTCCCACGACTGTAGCCTGAGCTATATTCCTTGCACCGGACCCCCAGGGGGTCCTCGGCTGCGTACCATGACACATTCAATCTTGATGAAGTTTTGGATGCTGTCTGGGCCCCGGGGGGTCCTCCGCTACATACTCCCCAGCCTTTGCCCTTTTCATGATGATGATTGGGTAATTTGTGCTGTTAATTCTGGTCCACAGACTACCTATTCTCAAGGATGCTTGAAATAGGAGCCTGGGGATCCTGTTTGTTATTTTAATTTTTTCTCTCTCAGCTGCAGGCATGGGACATGGGGGCTTCCTTCTCATGGTTCCATTCCTCCTCTGACAAATGTCTTAAATATCCCCAGATACCAGTAAATTTGGCTGTGTAACAGCAGCTTCAAACCCGATATTTCACGGGAATTATCTAACTTCTGCCAGTGAATGGGCAAATGAAAAGAATTACCTTATCCCCAAGCTTTCTACCTAAGCCCTGAACCCTTCTCCTCTCCATTTCTGATGCTTTCTCTGCCATGTGCAACCACTTCTGCCTATCTGACTTCCACTCTCCTCTTATTATTGGGCAGGCTCTCTGGTATTGGGTGGGATCTCCAGTATTGGGTGGGCCACTTCTGCCCAACCTTGGCTCTCATCTTAACTCCTCCCACTCATTCTCAAGCTGCCCTGAGAAGCACAGATGGGTCTGAAAGCAGGCTAGGATGCTTGCAAATAAGTTTACGATAAGGACCCACATGGGGATCACAGTAATCAGGATGGCTCTTTAGCCGGAGATCAGTTTACAGCCTGCCTCCTGGTGGGTCTTCCTAAAGCTGTCCTCAAGCCAACAGATTACCAAAAATTTTTTTTTCAAGACATGGAATAAAATCTGTCTCATCTTCCAGACCTCCCTGATATAAGGGCTAAACCTTAAGCATCTAGAGAGCAAGGCTCCTGACCCCACAGGCAGAAGTTTCAGCTGTGGCATTTAAGGTATACCAGGGGAGAGATGGAAAAGCCCAAGAACAGAATTGCCAAGTGCTGACACACGCTGTCTGACTGACTCATGAAAGCCGCTGGGTCCCTGTTTTAAGTGTGGGGGAAAAAAAGGCCACACGGGCTAGTACATACCCTGCCAGGCTATCAACTGAGCCTTGTTCAAAGTGCCACCTAGAGAGACAACTGGTCAGCTGACTGCACCAGGCACCAAGGGGCATGGGAGCATCAAACTAAGACCTCCAGCAGACCTCTAGGCTTGGCTATGGCTTGCAGGGAACCCAGAATGCAGCATAGAAGCAATCCATTTCTTTCCTCCTGGATACCAGAGCCACTTACTCAGTCCTGTGGTCCCACCTCTCCTCGTTTCCCTATTGTTGGGGTAGAGAAGACAACCTTACCCACCTCACCAGACTTAATTGTACTTTCAGGGTTACTTAATGGGAAAAGATTTTCCAGCTAAGATAGGAGCTTTCATTTCATTGCTCCCTCCATGTGCCTCACTCCAGACCTGTCACAGTGCTTCTCCTCCTCATGCACAGACAGGACCCTGCTCTCTACCTTGTCCCTAATTCCAAAGAAATAAGTTCTCATGCGCCACAAGCTTTTCTCTTCCCAGTTCCCTGTTCTAACTCACTGCTCAGCTAATGGTACAGGACCACCACAGAGCTGGAGTCCAGGGATCATCAAGTAAGAAACTGTAACAGTTAAAAGACATTTATACCCCCAGACCCAAAAGTGTCTGGGCTCTACAAAAACAGACTTTAATATAACCATCTATTACTGTTAAATGCTCTCAACAATTGATCACCTGTGTCTCCTGGATGCTAAACTAGTAAAGGAAACAGGTGCCTTAAAATAATCTGTCTCTGATAAAGTTTATCTCAGGTTAAAAAATTAAAAACATGTTCCAATCTCTCTGTCTCTCTCATTAACGCTAACCAGTACAAGCAGAGTACCAAACACTACAATGGTCACCAGCCCAAGACTTTAATTTTCTCATGGCTGCTTCTTAATATGTTCAAAATTTTTCCCAAGCTCCAGAAACCAGCTTAAGTCCATCTGGACAGGTCAGATCTACTTCAAGATAAGTGCCAAATCCAAACCTTCCTGGAGCATCCTGTCAGACACAAAAGCACCCAGAGTGCCAAGCCAAGAAAGATGAACATCTCTGAGACAGCAGAGGACAGCCCACCATCCCAGGATGCCTGTTTACCTCAGAAGGCCCCTTCCCTCCCCGCCAAGAGCCAACCGATGCTCACCAAGTCAGCTGGAAGCAGTTTTTCTGGGAGAAATAATGCCCCTATTCCTGTTCACTCGCTTTTTTATAAGCAAAAAGTCTGGAATGTTAGAATTCTGCCCTTAGTCCAGCTGCATGGCCACACATGCACAGTTCAGGAGTTAAGCAAAGGGTCTTGTGTCTTATGTCATCAGTGTGTGCTGGCGACTACGTGCACGAGGCATGGTCACGCAATCAGCGCATGCATGGTGTAGCTCTATAAGCCTGCCTATGCATGTTCACCGGGAACCTTTAAAAAGCCAGATGCAGACCCCCCTTCTCCCCACCTCTTCCCTCTCTCTGCACATGCTTTCCTCCCCAGGCCTGGTTCTCCTTTCCCTTCCCCCCATTCCTCCTAATAAAGCTCTGAATACTGATACTGGGTTCTGTCGTGACCGTGACCTTTCCACGTGGTAACAGCACCGTAACCAGCTCTGTTTATCATTCATTTCAAGGACAATGTGAGATGACGTGATGTTGGGGAGTCGAGGGGGTGCTCCTTTTGTAAGACAGACCCAGGTAGCAGAAACTGGACTTGCAGACCAGGGACTAGGAATCTGGAAATGCTTTTGTGAATAACCCTGCCCTTCATCTACCGCTTTCCTTAAACACAGAAGCCACGTAGAGGAAATAAGGGAAAGGGGGTCCTGGAACCATTTATGCTAATGCTCCATAAGGTTGCAGCTCAGGTCAATGGACAACCATGCTCTTCTCTGGCTGTTGAGATGAGGAATACTACTTCAAAGGTACAAGGGGACCAAGGGACCTATACCTTAGGGTCGGGGCTACAGTTGTTCCAGATATACTTGTTTATGTCCAGCTAATGAGAAAAGTAGGAAATACCTTGGGGAGATGACTGAAACACATGTTCATCCCCATTCTGCCCAGGTCTGGCTTTCTGTTTAATACAGAACACTCCTAGGTTATTGCACAGCAAATTTTCATGGCTTTTCCAAATTGCTAAATGCTTTTTGTTTGTTTTTTAT